TTCATTTATTGTTCCAGACTCAAACTAAGTTAAGATATTTCAAGTATTGCTCAAAACTCAAACTAAGTTAAGATATTTCAAGTATTGTTTCAGACTCAAACTTAGTTAGGATGTTCCAATTATTGTCCAAGACTCAAGCTCAGGTAAGATATTTCAATTATTGTTTAAGTCTCAAACTAAGTTTAGATATTTCAATTATTGTTTAAACTCAAGCTTAGTTAAGATATATCAATTATTGTTCTAGCTGCAAACTAAGTTAAGATATTTCAATTATTATTCCAGCTTCAAACTAAGTTAAGATGTTTCAAGTATTGTTTCAGACTCAAACTAATTTAAGATATTTCAATCATTGCTCAAGACTCAAACTAAGTTAAAATATTTCAAGTATTGTTCAAGACTTAAACTAAGTTAAGACATTTCAATTATTGTTCAAGACCCAAACTAAGTAAATATATTTGAAGTATTCTTCAAGACTCGAACTAAGATATTTCAAGTATTATACCAAACTCAAATGCAGCTAAGATATTTTAAGTATTCTTTAACACCAAACTAAGTTAAGATATTGCAAGTGTAATTCCAAACTCAAACTAAGTTAAGATATCTTGAAGACTAAAACAATGATAAGATATCTTACATAGAGTTTATCAGTCAAACTAAGTTAAGGAGTGAAAGATAGCATTCGTGACTCAAACTTAAGTTTGGTACTTTAAAAAATATCAATGACACGATAGTTTTTAAGATATTAATTTCATTCAACTTTAATGACCCAAAATAAATATGTTTCACTCAAACTTAGTTCAAATATAAAGTATTGTTTCTGACTCAAACTAAATTAAGATTTTTCAAGAAGTGGTCTTGAGTTAAACTAAGCTAATAGATGTATGCATAATATTTTGTTCATTAATCAATTTACCTTTAGATATTCAAGCAATTTCCACGACTCAAATTAATTTTAAATTTTCCCAAACATTTAAAGGTATATTAATTCTCAAGCTTTGAAAGGACATCAGTAGAATTACATGTATCTTTAAGTTTTAGGACATTGAGATATTTTAGAAATTGCTCAGAATGAAATCGATTTGATATGTTAAAAGAAATATTTTACAAATTAAGATAGATCTTAAATGTTGCATGTTATTCTTTAAAATGTACCAGATAAACATTAACAAGTTTATAATTGGTAAATAGCCTATTTACATGTGACTCAACTTATGATTAGACATTAGAAACTACTAGTAATACTTCAAAAATTGTGAACTCATAATGATTGTTCTTTAAGTAAAGATACATTATAGTATTTAAGTAAAGCTATTTCATTTTTATTTTTCATGTTCTAAAGTAAACTTAAAAATCTTAAGTTTTGTTCTTGATCCTAACATGATAAAGTTATAACATTTTAGAACTACAGGAGAACGAATAGTTATATTATTTATTTTATTCACATTCTATATGTACGAAGTGAAAACATTCAAAGCATTTGCCAAGTTTCAAACTAAGTAATTTTAATCATTTAAACCTACACTAAAATAAGTTAATGTACTTTAAGAGCTGTATATTTGTAAGAACTGACGGTAGTGTGTTCTCTAATTTGTTTTTGATGTTAAAGTAACTAAACGTATTTATATATCGCATTAGAATTTGTTACTGCAGCGTTAATGACTAAAGGGCGACTAATTTTGTCTCTAACAAATAACAATCTCCACGCAGTGATCTCCCCTTAATTCTTCGTTAGTGCACTCTTTAAGGGCAATTATTTATATATCACATTTTTTTTTTATTTACTTTTTTTTTTAAGGATTTCATTACTGGTTAGGGACTATCAAAACCGGACAACCACCAAACCCGGACGGCCCCGACAATGCTTAATTTAGTATTTTCTTTGTTCAGTAATTGTCAGTCACTTTTTTATCAATAATAAGTGCATGTTTCTTTTAGAATTAAGTAAATAAATTTATTTCAACCTCCGTAAATGGCAATATTTTAATGTCTATTTCAAGAATGTTGACGTTGAAATTTGGGAGTCAAAAAAGCAATGCCTGACCTCAGATACCAGCTATAATCGTTTGCAGAGTGAATAATAGAATATCCAAAACTTCAGCATTTGTTGCTGACATATTGTATATCATGTAAAAAATCAAAAATCAAAACACCCAAGCTTTTATCTGAATTAAATCACATCATGTACATTTCTGTCCGGACACATGGTACTGTAGTGTATACAATTTAGGTAATTTTGATACCCTCCTTGTCGAGCCTCAGATATAAGTGTCAATACAATCAGAAATGAACAAACTAGTTTGTAAGTTAGGAGAAGAACTTAGCTGAACTGTGTCAATTTTTTTGGTCTCTAGGTTAAAAAATATGAAATCTATACGGAAAAATGTTCCAAAAGTGTCCGGTTGATGGTCTCCATCCAGTACAATCATCATCGTTACCATCATAACTAATACACCGCGAATGGTTTAACATTATAGCGAAATACAGACATAGCTAAATGAATAGCCGTGGTCGAGAGTAGATCCATGGATCGTCATAATAAAATTGTCAATTTACGACAGCAGTCAGCATAAAGCTAGACAAAGTACAATCTTATGTTCATTTCACAAAACAATGAATATAAATAATTTAAAATTAAACTGTTCTCGACAAAAATCTTTTGAAGATCTAAATCTGAATTGACTGAGAAAACTTCTCTGTCCATATAATATCCTGCTTGATTCAGTGTTCCATGTTCCCACCAAAATTCTGGAAATAAAGTGATCCCTCGGAAGCATTAATCACAACAAAATAACATAAGAATTGCAGACTCGGTTTGATTGAGTCTGTACATGAGTGATAATGAATAAGTGCAACATCACTCACGCCCCCTAGCACCGGCAAAGACATCAAGAACAAATCCGCTTCAATCGTGGAAAATATCAACCAAATTGCTGCTTATAGGGCAGACAGAAAATCACATCTTATCGATTCATTTCTAGAAGATATTACTATCGATTGCTGTTTTGATCAGCGATTTTTTTCCATTTTATTTTCAACAATTCATTTCTTCCATTGTTACAACATTCGACGCCAGCGTTAAAAGGATATGACGTAGATACAGTACCTACGTCATAATCAGGGCAGGGTATAAGTTGTTCCCCAAATAACTGAGACTATTCTATAGAAATAGTCATCATTATTTGTAATCATGATGTAAGTCACACTATGGCACTAATATTGTTGATGTAGAAAAGCAATTTTTCAGCTTAGCTAGGTAAGGACAATCAAATTGCCCCAATTTGCATAATGCCCAATAGAACTTAACACAGGGGTAGAACCACACAAAAAATAAACATTTGCTATTATATCTGAAATATAATTCCACAAAGCAGTGCTACAATTCTTTTATTGTTTTTTTTTATCAACATTGGTCTTATTGTTCAGAGAATGTTAATTAAAGAAACTGCTTTCTGACTACAGATTTCTGTCTTACAACAAATCATTCTGATGATACATTATTCGTGATTATTATAAAGAAACAGACTTTAGTTACCTTCGCAATACAGGTTTTACAGTCATGTAGTTGGCAGGAGTCATACCTATTGTGTTACACAACTGAAAAATAAAAAAATAAAAACTATAAAATGGTGTAACCAATCATATTTTCTTTCACTAATAAAAAGATTTTCTTCCAAAAATAAAGATGTATACCTAATATAACACATTTCACTCTTGTTAACCATGTCATGTAAATACGGAATGTACGTTATCTATGAATATAAAACTCTAATTTCTAAGACTGAATATAACACTCTAATTTCAAAGACGCAATTCTCAAGTATTGATACTATACAAAATAAGTTGTTTGTTTTAAGAGGAGCAAAATATTTTTTAATCAAAATGAAGATAAATCAAAAGCAATTGTTTGAACTTAAATAAAAGTAAACACAGAGTCACATCAACAGGTTTTTAACACTATACAAACAATATTTGGCGTACTCACTGCAATGAAAAAATAACTTACTGATTACATCTTTTGTATTGTTTTGCTATAACAAAAGGCTATGAGAACAAAATGTCATGTGAGACATTGTCAGAAGTCCAATTATAATCCTTCAAAAAGAATATGACTAAATACAATCATGTCAAGTAACAATTGTAATATTTCTCAGAAAAATGATATTGTGAAGTTACAAATCTGTAAAAGAAGTAAAAATATAAATTGCACTTTATGATCTAAATGAAACTAAAAAATGTCTTTTTTTGCTTATGAACATGTCAAAAAATTTGTGCCAACTCTCTCCTTTTTTGTTGCTTCAAGTAAAATATTATCATTAACCTTTTTTACACCACTTTCTTTATCTTACAGTCATATATTATCAGTATGCCCCACCAGTGTCAAAATCATTTTAATTCTCAAATGTGGCCCAAGTCAATCAAGAATAACTATTGCTGAATAAGAAATCTTAAACTTCTTATAAAACTGAAGCTACTTTACATGCAATCTTTGTTAATAAAAACATTTAATTATTTAAGACATCCGTATTTTTGGGGTTTCGTTTTACTTCACAAAAAAAATTGTTCCATTACATACCCTAGTAATTACACATAAAACATTTAATTGGCAAAAATCCAAAATCTAGACAGTGTTCAGGAAAAAATGAGAGTAAGAAATCATAAACAACTAAAAAAATGGAATTTTAATAACATTTAGACATCTCCTTTGTCTCAGTTAAATCTTCGTCATCTTTTAATCCTAAAATAAATCATACCTCATACAATTATATTTCTTCAATAACGTTTCAATCATTAACTGCTCTGAACAATTACAATGTTTAAGATTTTCTGACCCTGGCATAATATTTGTTTTTCATCACAATTTATGTACCATACACTTAAGTTGAAAAATAGCTTCTAATAAAAATATGATGTAATACTTTTATTGTTTCACAACAGTCTTCAAGGAAAATTCTTGGGACAGATTTGAACTATTTAAGTTTTGATGGATGTTCATATATAATGTTTTTAAAATAGAAATATACCATTAATAGTAAAATTTGAAAGGCTAATAATGATCAGAAAAGAATCAGAAAGATACAATATATAATAGAAATGCCCTTAACGCTTTCGTCGATGAGTATATCTAGTTTTTCTCTGCAAAAGAAACAATAAATGTTACCACCAAGAACAACAAAATTCACTCAAAAGGAAGTCTTGTAATCTAACTCTAATTTATATTTTCTTTAATACATTTGTATACTAAAAAATTTTTAATTTTTATTTGGACAAAAATATATGCATAGAACTTTCCTACTTTCTTTGATCAAACTGTATTTAGTATTTATTACCTTACATTTATGCGAGTTCAGATAAATACTCGAAACAATTAAAAATTGCATAAAATGGGATGATAGGTGGCTATATTTGGATTCCATTAATTTCATACATACATAAGCATGCTGCACAATAGATACAGGTGGAAGTATCAATACCGAAAGTATAGATCACATAACAAAGACATTGCAGGGTAGAAAGTAGATTTATCACATATAACAATTCTCTGTAATTTACTCAATAAATATAAAGCTAAAGCAAGACTAGGATAAAACCAAGACATTCAATGCCTTGGTATATGAGACTTATGAGGGAGAAAATGCCTGATAGCAATTTATTCACTAAGAAAGGTCAGTTCATGCAGTACACTGGGGATTCCTAACAAGGCTATAGAATAATAAATTACTAAGGTTTCACAATATTGAATAAATAAATCTCCCGACATATGTATATGATACAACACCAAGCAAGCAGACAACATTATCTGGTTACACATTACTTACTCGTCTGCGACATTTTTTGAAGCCATTAAAAGTCGTTTTCCTTGGGAAATACTGCCCTGTATAAACAGAAAAATAAAATATCAAATTTCACTCTTTCAAGACAATAAAGCATTCAAACTTTTACTTCTATAAAAATGTTCATCACATAAACTTCAGTTTTGGCTATTTCAACAATTATAAATTTATTCAAAGTAACTATCACCATGCAAGTTCAATGTTATTGCATTCACTGATTCAGTACCAGATATACAACCAAAATCACAACATAATATTCATCATATACTTTAAAAATACAAAATATATGGAAGGTCATATCCTTGATTAATATATCAACTGTAATCCTTTTCGATAAAATCAAAGAAAAAGTTAACAACAGGCAGAGTAAAGTTCTCCTCATGAAATAACGACCATACATGCTTCTTGTTACCAATAATATAATGTTTAAACAGTTTAACAAGCACCTGTTAATTGTTACTTGCAACAGTGATGTGAAATGGATGATATAAAATTTGAAATTTGAAATTACAGCTACAAAATCAGGGAAACTAATGACAGTTTGAATACTCACAAGCTTTTTTAATTTCGATTCTTTCTTTTTCTCTCTTTTCAATCTTTCTTCTTCAAACTTTTCAATTTCTGCGAATGATATAAGAAAAAAACTGTATTAAAAATCTCTTTCTGAATATTTTTAATAGTCGCGTATTGTTTGAAAAATGACTTGTTTCAAACGCTCCGAAAAAATATAGTCAACCTTATATTAGTAACCTAGCCAGTGTTTTCAAAACTGTCAAGAGTCTCTATCAAGGAACCAAAAAAACCTACATGTATACAAATGAGGTTTAGTTGTGAAGCTAATTTATAAAGTGATCATGCACCGAGTTCATGGGAGAATTTTAAAAGCATGAAATAAAATATGTACATTAGCCTGTTTAAAAAAAATACGCTGGAAAAGTATTACAACAACAAAGACTTACGATGACTGTAAACTTACCCTCTAATTTCGTGATACCATTCTTACGGCAGTGGAACAAGTCTTTGATTCGGGTTTTGAGCTCTCTTTCTTCTACAAAGTAAAATTAATGGGATGTTTGACAACAGATTTTTCATTTCATTAATCTTCACAAATTTATTATGATTTAGTTATGAATCCAATTTGTCTCTGTGATGATGGCTATGATAATACAACAGCTGTAGTGAGTACTCTGCTGTAATCCTACAACTAAACATTTAGCATTGACAAAAGTGCTTCGTCTTTGAAATTGTTCACATAGCAGTTTTCTACCAATTGTATAGTAATAGTGTCTTCAAGACAATATACAATGCATTTATATAAATTGTGCTATATTTTCCATAAGTAAAGAAAACAGCTATCCCTGTAGTACAAGTAAATGCACTCTCAAGTTTAATTTGCCTTCTGGACACTATGTCTCTTTTGGTAATTAAGCTTGCTTTGTTGTTGTTTTTATGGTTGTTTTTTATGGGTTTTGCTTCACACCGACACAGTATAGGTCATATAGTGACTTTCCAGTTTTACAAGTGGAAGAAGACCTCAGGTTCCCCTTTGTGATTTTTTTCAGGCACTAGCAGATACCTGAGTAAAACCACTGACATTCCATAAGCTAGCTGGATAACTTTTCCGCATAAAAAAATACAAAAATGCTGGCCCAGCTCAACCGACAGTGGTGAGAGGCAAGTGGTTTGAAGTCAATGACCTTAACCACTTGGCCATGGACACCCCAAATTAATCTTGAAAGTCAATGTAAGACAGTACCAAGATAGATGGAGACATAATGGCTCAGACTACACCAGACGTGATAATTTTAAAAATGCATTTGTTTCATTATATTAACTATGTAATCATTCATTAACTCTGTCGTTTCTTAGCCAGTTATGTCAATACAAATATTTATTTATAAACCTATCACTAGTAATTGTAGTGATTGACTATAAATTAGATTATCCTCAAGTTTTATATTCAGTGTCGTTTTCCTGAAGTACAATAAACTGAAAATGCAAAATCTCAAGCCATTGTGGATTATTAACTTGAATTGTTTTATTATTAAGAGTTACTGTTCATAGCTACTTTTTCATTGGATGTATGAATTCTACGCTATTTTTATTACTCACTTAAACATGATAAATTATGGATTTAGTATTATAGAACCTATTCAAAAACAAGCATGACTGAATTTAATTAATTACAAGACTAAAACATTTCATTGTAAACCATATGAACAATAGACCTAATATTACAAATGAGTTGCTAGTAATGCCAATTTTGATAATAATTTTACAATATAAATTTACAACAACAAAGAAATTTACTTAGTATACACAGACATGTCTTATATAAGGTATCTTCACTTTGTCACACAATATTTGTTCAATTTTCCTTCACATTTGGCTGTCAGACCTTTTTTCTTTTATTTAATAGAATTTGAAAAATATGTATATAGGTCTTAAAATGGTAAGAAGTTTTCACTGAAACCACAGTGAAAGAAAACATTTATTTTCTGAACACTTTCAAGCATCATTATATCTAGGTGCTACAACTTTAATTTTTAATAAAAATAATACATTGCATTACAACAACTAAGTGTATAAACATGTAATGATGTTGCTATCAAGTTTTTTTTCCATGTCTCTGACTGCTAAACTGCTAAAATTTAAATATTTTTATTTATTTACAATTTTTTAATATTTAAATGATGCAACTGACGCAAGTCATCTTGCAAAATAAGTAATATTTTTCAACTAACTCAAAATTAAAATTACGCAAGTTTGTTTTTCAAGATAAAAAGTAAATAAGGTTTATCCATCAATTAATGGTACAAGTTTACAAGATTTCTAATGTCAATATCATTTGTTAAATACAAATCCAAGACACGAGAACCAACAAGGGAAGATAACAGAGAAAACAATAACAGAGTATCGTCATGGAGAGTTATGTAGCATAGCCACAAAATAGCCTTTAATAATTCGAGCGCTTGGTGCGAAAGGGTTGTTACACATATTAAATAAAGATCAAGTTACTGCCCTTTCACACCAAGCTGTTGTTATGTCTGTTAACCCTTTACCTCATATATATACGCAAACAACGCACTTTCTACCCCCCACTCTTTTAGGCCTCAAAGAGTGAAAAGATGTCCTATTTTGGCCCCAAACACATTTTCGTTTGAGAAATGTTGCTAAAAAAGTGAGACCTTTTTCGGCGCCGCCCCCATCCAAAAGATATCTCTGGGGGTTCCAGAAGGAAGATGTTCCCCGTTCTGTGTGGGGGGTTTGAAGGGGGCAAAATCCCCTCATCGCCAAGAAAATTTTGGACTTGTGAGAGGCTAAAATGATCCCAAGTCGATCATAAGGTTACGTGTAACCAACGCTGAAAAGCCTTTGACTTTATCTCAATCCCTTGAGAAGTTGTAGCACTTTGAAATAAATTTTGATGGAAAATTTCAAGGCAAAATAGTGATTTTTGGCAATTTTGAGATGTCCCCTCGTTGTCATGGTAACAAGAAATTTAAGACTGAGCATGCCGTTACAAAGGCAATGGTCCAGTTAACATTTGTGCCAAGTTTGATTAGTATTGAAGCATTTTTCATAGTTTCATAGCCGTTTGAACTTGTAACAGGAGGCTTTTCAATGAAAACGGCCATTTTTCACAATATGCTCACGAGGGAAAGGGTTAACTAAAAAAATAAAAATGTAACAAAACAACAATATTTCACCAAAATTAGGTGAAAGACCACATGTTAACATGGAAAATCTAGATTTTGGGTAATTCCAAAGTTTTTCATCATTTTTTGTTAACCCTTTACCTCATATGTACGCGAAACAACGCACTTTCGACCCCCGCCCCCCCCCCCCTTTAGCCCTCAAATAGTGAAAAAATGTCCTATTTCGGCCCCAACACATGTTTTCGTTTGAGAAATGTTGCTAAAAAAGTGAGTACTTTTTCGGCGCCGCCCACCCCATCCAATAGATACAACAGGGGGTGCCAGAAGGGGGATGTGCCCCCTTCTGTTTGGGGGTTTGAAGGGGGGCGGCAGTCCCCCTCATCGCCAAGAAAATTTTGGACTTGTGAGAGGCTAAAAATGACCCCAGGTCGTTTATAAGGTAACGTGTAACCAACGCTGAAAAGCCTTTGACTCTATTTCAATCCCTTGAGAAGTTGCAGCACTTTGAAATAAATTTTGATGGAAAATATCAAGGCAAAATAGTGATTTTTGGCAATTTTGAGACCTCCCCTCGTTGCAATGGTAACAGGAAATTTAAGACTGAGCATGTCGTTACAAAGGCAATGGTCCAGTCAATATTTGTGCCGAGTTTGATTAGTATTGAAGCATTTTTCATAGTTTCATAAAAGTTTGAACATGTAACAGGAGGCTTTTCAATAAAAACGTCCATTTTTCACAATATGCTCATGAGGAAAAGGGTTAACATACATAAAGAGTATGTTGACTTTGTGTGCTAGTTCCTCAAAATAATAGGTGATGAAGTTTGATAATTTGTAATTCTTTTTTAATTGGGATAATTACTGCTACACCTGTTTCTTTTTTAAACAATTCTTTACCTGCAGGGGTTAGTATCTCGAAGCTATCGTTATATTTGCGTTTACGAACGTGCTAACGATTGACGGAGGGTTGGTTAACGAGAGACTAGCGCGGGTATCTCGAAAGCAGTAGTTAAGCAATCGTTCGTTGCTTACTCGTTAGTTATTAACGATTGCGTTGTGTTATCATTTGAATACATGTACCGCGAAAATTGTGTACAGCTCTTGTTTATATTCACCGAATCATTATTTTGCGTAGACGAAGGTGAATATAAGGTTACGATCATGCTAAACCGGAACACAATCACACGACACGTGCAGGATCCGCCGGTCTGTCGTCTAGCAATATAGACTTGTTTTGCGATGAAAATCCCGATTGCCTTGATAATATCAATTGTGATAGTGGTAAACCTACGGAAACGGTTCCTTTAAAAAAAGAGAACAGTCATTGGAACTGCCCCTGTTGAAAGTTCCAATGAAACAGGCGTGATTTAAATTGAGGGGCGGGGCGGGAACTTAACATAGAAACTGCAATACTAGAAACAGAGAAAAAACGACTGTATGTAAAACCGCAGAGACTGAAGATTTAGCAGCAGCGGCTGCCAGTGTAGTCAGATGTTTTAAACACTTTACATAGTTAAAGCCAATATTCTGGCGGAGCTTCTTTTCAATACCAGTCAACAAATCTGGGGGCAGATAACCATCCCTCATTCTTCAGGCTATATAGCAACATGTTGTTTTAGGGTGTAAGTTCAAATTTGGAAATGTTGCTTTCATTGTTGCTCTCCGTTTGAGTGAAATGTGGACTATATTTTCACGAAACATAATAAAATTTTACCCTTTAGACAAACATATGTACAACAACTCTTTCTAAAATCCCACTTGCTACACAGCTGCAAAGACGTCATGCGCATAACAATGACGCCATGAGCAAAACAATGACTTCATAAGCATAAATATATATTAAATATGTAAAGTCGATTTTCATTGGATAATCATGACGTTTATATTATTATTTATAAAGATTTTTGACAGGTAATATTGCCCTATATAAACGACTGTTTGGAAATATAACCCGAGCCGCAAGGCGATGGTTGTATTGCCTACAACCATTTAACATGTCAGGAATATTTATAACGAATTTATAAAACAGCGAACTTCCCTTCTTTGAGAAAAAAAGTGAGATTTCTTAGAAAATTGCCTGAAACAGTGTATATAAAACTATAAAAATGTCACGATTCTCCAATGAAAAGTGACGTGACAAACGTGCAGTATTATAAAATCTTTTATAATACTGCACGTTTGGTACTGCAAGTTTGGTACGTCAATTTTAATTGGCGTTTATATAGTTTATATACACAGCTGCTGTCAATTTATCAAGAAATCTCTCTTTTTATTGCAGTATTGTAAATTTGTTATAAAGATTTTTAACAGGATATATGGCCGATATAATTTTGTTTGCAATATAACTCTCACTTGGCGGCTCGGGTTATCGTTTATATACGGCCATAAGACCTGTCAAAAATCTGTATTACTAAATATATACATGGCTGCTGTTAATTAATATGGATAAATTTTCATTTTGTTTTAAACAAAGGATGTTTGCTGTATTATACATTAAAATATAACGAGTTAAATTATAACAACTGGTGTTCGCGAGTGAAATATTTGTTACTATGAAATGATAAACAAACAACATTTCTATATATTACATCCCTTTTTGTGGTACCGATTTTTGCAGCTGACGTGATGCACTTTTCTTCATGATGTAATAAATCCGTCACAGTTTACTTTTCGAAATATAATTCTGTAACAAGTTTGAATTTTGTTTAATTTTCAGCATGATGTATGCATACATTTATTTATATTTTCTTGTGCAAAATTACACATTACGGAGATTATTCCTTTCGCTGTTTAAGTTATGTAATGTTTTTTTTTTCATCCGCATTCAAATATAAGTCTTACATTAAACTGTAAAGAACCTTAACTAGGCTTTACAGTTTACATATGTTTGATATGTGAGAAAAATTTTGTTTGTTTGGATTGTTACGGGTTGTCAACACATAACTGGCCATATCGTGCCGAATGCTATAATAGGCTTTAAATGTAAAACTTTGTAAATGACAATAAAAATGAGCCAATTAGATCCAAGAATACAAGTTTATCATTTTCAAATAATCAATGATATTTTTTATGGAATTGTATTAAAGAGTTCTTTGAGTGAATTTACACAATAAAATCTATTACGGGCCTGTGAAAATTCATGAGAAAAAGAAATACAATACTATATTTATGTCGGTTCATCATTTTTTATCAATAAAATGATATAATTCTCATTTTTTATGTACTTTAAAATCGCACCTTTCTTACTTTTGTGTCAAAATGATTGTAACGAGAGCCTTACGACACCCTCTAGGCATCCGTTAATAATTGGACAAGTTAACGATTATTCGTTAATTACGAGAGCGTCGAGATGGCGGTGAAAACCTTAACGAGAGGTATACGATAGTCGTTATGCTAACGATAGCTTCGAGATACTAACCCCAGTAGTTGTTAGTTTTTTATGTTTACATTGATAACGTGTTTTCAGAAAATGGTTAATATTGTTTCAATCCGGCATGCTTTACTTTGTATGTTCAGTATTAATAATTTTCAATTTCTCAACATAAAAATTTGTCATAGAAGATATTGATAATGTAGCGTGTACCGAACTGTTGATAATTTAATCTATAGCTACAAAATAAAATCACAATGTTCTCAAATAATCTTGACATTCTTAAATGGAAATACATGTAATTTTTCTCGGGATACTTATCCTTATGATTGGAAAATAACTAAAAAAAACATCATTCATTGCAAAATAACAATCCTTAATTACTTCTTAAATCATTCAAAACTGTATATTCCAAAATAAACAATTTATTTTCTCAAAAACTCTCAAACAAATACCTGTCGAAAGCTAAATCTATCCTTCATTCCCCTACTTTTACATTTCAACAATCTCTTATCCAAAAACAACTGTACTTCAAATAATCATAAAAATAGTTTCTCATTGTTCATTTGTCTTATAAATATAGCATCCTGAGTACCAGATATCTGAGATTTCTGAGTACTAGTAACTATAAGCTTTAACTTCAACCAAAATATTTCTAATCAACCGTTTGCCCGAGAGGTCTTACTGAAACAATAGAACATTTCAGTACCAGATATCTGAGATTCTGTGTACATGAAAAAGCTACTATTATTACGATCCGACTCTTACAAGGACATAACCAAACATATTTCAAATATCTATTTCCCTAAAATACTTTAACTAAACAAATACTCAGAGATTTGACAGATATAGTAAAACGTCCTTAGTGCCAGATATCTGCGATTTCTGTACACTAGTATGTATTTACTACGTCGTTCCCTTCTATACACATACATATTCAAACCAACTTAAAATACCCATTTCTCAAACTTTCTTCTATGGAACGTTTGTCCATGAGGTTACACAGAAGCAGCAATATATTTTTAGCACCGGATATCTAAGATGCATCGGTACCAGTAAATATAATACTGCTCTGATCTGCCTCACGGACGAAACCAAACTGACTCTTTTGCGCTGCGCTCGCTCTATTTATACTAGTGATTGAACCATCTCCGCAGTGAATAAAAACAATGATTTTGATTGGCTAAAATAATAAAACGCTTCTTGACACTGATTTTTATTGAAACTTATAAGCGTCTGTTACTTAAAGTTATTTCTCTTATGAACTACTGTGAACAATAGATAAACAATTTCAAATACAAACACTTTGAATGATACCCTAAAATTATCAGATTTGAAGGTTAAAATGATTAAAATACCTAGTCTTTATACAACGATAAATTTACAAATACATTATTATATTTTCCCAATACAAATGCGAACTTATAGTAAGGGGAGGCAATAAAAATACCCATAAAATACGTTTCCGTCACAATAAAGTGAAGGAAAGGTAGCAGAATAAATAATAAATTTTAAATATTTTAGTTTTAAAAATGTTTTGAGTTTTGTTTTGTGGTCTTCTGTAGGAATCTGCAAGTTACAAGCTGACGTTGGACCATGTGGCCAGTATATCAAGAAATGGCATTATAACAGTTTTAGTCAAGACTGTGAAGAGTTCACGTATGGAGGTTGTCTTGGTAACGGTAACATCTGTGAGAGCAAGGACCAATGTATGATGTACTTTGACTCATCTAGATGGTATAATCGTGAACGTGTCACCACTGAGAGACCAGATGAAACAATTAAAGAATCAAGCGGAGAAATAGCTGTTGCAACTGATGTTGGTAGGTATTTTCACGTAAAAAATACTTGACTCGACTTTCAGCGGTTCAAATCTTGTTAAAACTTGTATCATACCATTGAGTTGCCATAGAGAAACCATCTTGCTAGAAGATCTTTTGTTGTACCCATATTTCTGCTTTGGGGTCTACTCTACAAGTAAAGGCTGAAGAATTTCATGGCGTTGTAACCGTAAACAAAACACAACAACAAAAAGTAGTTATTGTTATTGGCAATTTATCATTACAGTATAAAAAAACTGTCATAAATTATAGAGCATAGCTTAATATTTGAAATATTTGTTTATTTTTATGCCCCTAACACTTGGGTTTGGGGAAGTGGAACATATAGATTTGCATTAATTTTGTCGGTCACACTGTCTAACATAGACTTACAAAACAGTGGAATATGAGGCATTTCAGTTCTATTGACTCATTCCTAATTGTCAAGGCATTGTTATGTTAATTTTGGAATTTTAATATGATAAATGAAATACACGATATACATGTAGCATATTTAAGAAAGTGTTTGTTTGATTAGATGTGTGTCATATGGAGAGTCATACTGGACGGTGCCGTGCATATATCAGAGCAGGTACTATGACTACCTGAACGGAGAATGTAAACAGTTTATTTACGGAGGTTGTGATACTAATGGTAACAAGTTTGATACCCAAGAGGCTTGTGAAGCCAGATGCAGCCCTAGACGTATGTATTTGATTTAACTTAGTACATTGTTTCCATAATCTTATGGTCGATTGTCAAAAAAGATTTAACATAGTATATTTCTGGTATTTAAATAAATATTGTACATAAACAGAAAAAAATGTTTTGGAACAAAATGTTCTGCTGCTATTTTAATATAAGGAGAGTTTTTACCATTTAGCTATGCTTTTGAGCATGCGTCTTCCCCTCTTAAGAAGATATACTTACATATCTCTTTCATACAAGCATTTTGATTTTTTTTTTTCAAAATTCAAACAATAATTTTTGCAGCAAATATATAGCTTTATACACTTTTATATGTGACATTTTCAGAGATATGTCTGCAACAAAAGCAGGTTTGTAACTGTATGGCATCCATGAGAAGGTTCTACTTTGACTACAGCGCCCAAGAGAGTAGGGAGTTTGTGAACGGAGGTTGCGATGGTAACGCTAACAGTTTCGAGACCAAAGAAGCCTGTGAGAGACGTTGTGATTCTCTAGTAACAGATAGAAATATTCCAGGAAGAAAACTTTATTATAATTAGAACGGAATTTGTTGATACTTGTTTGATGGTAAATGTTACAAAATAACTTTGTCTATTACATTTACTCTTAATGTCACAAAAAACTAGAATGTTATTATTATATAATAACACTACATGGATGTTTTACACTGAAATTTCAATAACATTGTTAATTATGGTTGAATGTCATAAATATCACAAATTAACATTGTTAGTCAAAAATATAACATACATGTAATTAACTAATATTGAATGTCATTAATGTCACAAAATTACATTGTTGGTCACACAAACCATTGTAGGTTATGGTGAAATGTCATTTAGTGTCAAAAGACATGTTATTGCAAAATGAAAAAAAAACAGCTAAAACTCAGTAAATGTCATAAATTGCACATGCACTTGGTATGTATGTCACAAATCAGGATTTCAATGTTGCAGTCCAGCTCATCAAATGTGACACACAAAAAAAATATTTCAAATTTGAAACCTGTAGTCCTGGATGTATGGACTCAAACAATGCACTGAAGTGATTTTTTTGCCATTGCAAATATTATAATTGTGACATTCTGTTTCATACAAAACTTTGACAATTACTTGGGGCTTTTATATTTTTATTTTTCACTCAACTTTGTAACTAAATATTTAGAGATTGAACAATGTGGTGGGTTATACACCATCTTTGAGAGATTTAAGTTTAGATTTAATTTAAGATAACATTAAACAACCAACAATTTGATTTATATGAATTTATAGTTTTCATTGTTTAAAAATTTACTACTGTTAACTGAACAAATATGCAACGTTTAGTACACATGTCCATTGGTAGATGGTCATAGATTGGTGTTGGTGATTATTATAATTATAATAATGAAAAAAATGTCCTAACGACTGTAACTACCAGTAATGTTAAAAAGTATGCACTATAATGAATATCAGTATAAAAATATGTTGATTTTAAGAGCTTTCTGTGCAACTTTTTTGTGAAAGATTTTTTTTAGAGGCTTATGTTTTAAACTAATTTATGTAAGCACCACTAACTGTTTACTATGAGGATTCTCAAAAGAAGTATTGTCAAAATTTGATATTCTTATATTTTGTCTGATGAATGTTGTTAGTATTAACCTTAAAAAAGCCATTTTTGATTGAAATTTGAATTAACATTAAAAGCTACAGATGAAGGTGAAATTACTACTGTTACACCAGAAAATGTAGAAGAAACAACAGGTATATTCTCCAGTGAAAAAAATAACACAAATTCTGTTCATTCATTTTCCATATGTGGCTTTATTATTTTTCTCTTTACACATATAACAAAGGTTCAATTTAAAAAAAGCTTATCAAGTTGCAAATGAAGTATTTAATGTAGTTTTGGGGCTGAGCCTTTTACATTATTAACCAATGTGTGTGATTTTTAGACGTGTTTTGTGTTGGAACGTTTCGTGATGTCTTGAAATTATCTTTTTGTTTGTTGAGCTGTAAACATCCTAATATTTTATTCTTGTAGTAATCACTAATATTAAGCATCAGAGCAAAATTAAATTCGCTCTGATATATATAAAGGGAGCATGAATTGATATGCATGAGTGAATATCCAAGTTGATAATTATCAATTATTCATGTCCTTAGATGTCATGTCAACCTCAAGAATATGCATTTTACAATATTACAAAATATCTTATAAGTGCAGCCATTCTGAATTTCTAAGTTCTAGTTTTATTCCCAAGACTTCACAATAAAATTAACCTCTATTGAGCAACATATATCAGCAACAACCAAAATCCTCGTCTTCAAAAGGATGTTTACAAGGGGTGCCCAAGGTTTTTGACATCTCACTACTAGACTCTCAAACTTGTAGGTTTGAGCTGCGCACACATTGTTAGATTCTACATGTGAGATCCAGCTAGTTTATGGAAGGTCAGTGGTTCTACTCAAGTGCCGGTTTGTGCCTGTAATAATGAACAGAGGGGCAACTGAGATCTTCCTCCACCAGTCAAGCTTGAAAGTCGCTATATGACCTGTACTGTGTTGGTGCAATGTAAAAAGGGGTGTTTATAGTGGTGGTACATCTATATTTTAAGTTTGGCTGAAATTTGCAATCATTTGCAAAACATGGATACTTGTAACCAATTAGAACTGCCTACTTTAGTAATTCCTTTACATTTATATATGAAAAATCCTGACTGTTCAGAAAATGAGCCATGTCATGACAAAACCAACATAATGGGTTTGCGACCAGCATGGATCCAGACCAGCCTGCGCATCCGCGCAGTCTGATCAGGATCCATGCTGTTCGCTATCAGTTTCTTTACTTGTTATAGGGTCTGTAAGTGAACAGCATGGATCCTGATCAGACTGCGCGGATGAGCAGGCTGGTCTGGATCCATGCTGGTCGCAAAGCCATTATGTTGGTTTTGTCATGACACGGCTCAAATATATGTGTGCAATTATTAGAGCAATCCTTGTTTTATATGTATTTCTGCACTTTAATTTTAAAAAATTCTGCACTGAAACAAGAATCATTTTTTTATTGTAATGGAGAAATGCCATAAAATATGAATATGATTATTTTTTCAACCAAGCAGATTTTACAAAGATATTGTGACAAAAAAAACTTTTTTCACAACAATTGAATATTTAGATTGCCAACATACACTATAGAACATGTAGATAGTAATCTTGTCAAGTGGAGCATATGTTTGTAACATTTTTGTTACCAAATTAGATCTTACATTTTCAGCATTTACTAATTAACGACAAGTATTTATACCTGTAGGTATTTGCAGTCAATGGATATTTTTTAGTTTTACATACAAAATGTATAATATCAAAGTTTAATCATCAAAGATTAAACTCTTTTATTTTACATGAATGACACATGTCTTAATCTATCGATCAGTTGTACTGCGTATCAATACGCATGCTCAGTCTGAGAGCTATATTTAGAACACTATATATAGGGGAGCTGCGCGAGCCCGCTGCTTCCTTTTCGTTCTGGAACTCTATGAGAAAGGTAGCTGCTGATCATATTTAAAATTTTTGTTAAAATCTTAATCTAGGTTATTAATTTTGGATGTAAATTGTAAAATTTTTAATTATAATTTTAAACCTTCATATCTTTATATTTAAATCTTTATAAATCTCGCTTTTGATTGAATTTTAAATAAACGAAAAATAGAAAATAACCACGTGGCCCTATTTATCCGAAAGGGACAATGCAGTTACAATTATTTCAAAATTATAAATAGTTAAAAAAATAAAAACGTTAACCGTTGAATTGCTCTTTATATGTATATATTTTTGTAAATCTTGCTTTTGATTGAATTTTAAAATAAACGAAAAAAGAAAAAATAACCACGTGGGTCTATGTATCCGAAATGGCAGTACTGTTATAACTATCTATCCTAATTTATCCTATTAACCAAATGCAGTTAAAACTATTCCAAATTATCAAATAGTAGGTCTAAAAACATATATAAACATGGCAAGCTTTTAAGGTTGTTTATAATAAGACATTTTGTTGTTTTTCTTGATCAAAAATGCCCAAACGACGTGCAATCGAAACTGAGAGACTGGCCAGTGCTGTAAATGAGAAAAGACGATAGCACAGAGGAACAACTGGCTCGAATCCGAATAAACGTCAAGAAGTTGTTCAACCAACTCATGACTTTCCCCCAACTTCAGGTGAAGTAAACTTTCAATCTAACATTATTTTTGTCTACCCAAGTTTCTCACTCTATTAAAGAGACAATACGGTGTAATAGTTATATAGAACTACAACATCTTCTTCCTAAAAATCTTAACCAGATTCTGCAGAAAAAAACAAAAAATACATTTTGAAAATGGAGAGCTGATCCTATAATCTTTTTTCGTATATTCCATACTTTAATTATCGGTGTACATATTCTAAAGCATCTATCTGCTACAATATATGGTAAACATACGACAGGCAGCAACCAGGCATATTGGTTGAGCCGCCTACGACTCGAGCTTTAGGACTGACACAAATGATGATGTTAGCCCAATTCAATCGGTTGGTCTTTCGATTACCCCCCCCCCCCCATTCTCGAAAAGTATTTCTTGTAATAATAAGGGCTCTTGCGTCTATACAAGTTCTTTTGCACATAAGTGTATAAAATAGTAAGCAGATACGACACTCAATATGCTTAATGGATATTTAATAGAAGGCCTAATCGTTTTCAGTCCAGCAACTCCCCCACTGTTTCCTGTAACAAGGGTTCTTCTCCTCGACCAAGAATAATTTAAGGGGCCTAGGTTCAACGTCAATTAATATAGTTGACAGGTTACAATAAAAACGATGCTTGTTTTTGGTTTTTTATTTGAAATCATTGGTTTAAATTAAATTATACTGATCCAAGAGCACCAATCCAGCAGTTTTAAAATATCAATTATATGAGGACAAACATTTGGCTGGATTGTCGGAACCATTACAAATAACCACTTATTTCCAATTTTCAAATTAATGCTTGCTTGGCTCGTTCCAAAAGTCACGGGTGCCCAATTTGTTATTTTCACCAAGTAACAGCTTAAAATGAATTTATCGAACCAGTCTATTAGCATGTCAAATATGCACAATTCGACGGAGCATGTATTATCATTGGTTCAACGTATAGGAAAAATATGTCTGTTGCAAAACTGAAAAAAATCTGCTTTTAACTTGTGTCCTTTTAAATAATATGGCCAGGTGACTTAAATCTGACTTACCTGGTACATTGTAATACCTGGTTTAAAAAAAAATAAATAAAATAAAAAAATGTTACCTCAGGGTTCCGCCTACCCCTGTTTCATTTTTGAAAAATTTGTTTCTTTCTTTAGATGTTGCCTTGTTTAAAAAATGATTTTTTTATTGGCAAACGTTAGTTTTTGAATCCTGTTTAGATATTTAACGTATTCAAACACGTTTGTTTAGACCTTGGGGTATCTCGATCTGCGCAGATCTATTAAAAACTATCGATTACTCGGGGGTTGAAATAAATGCGGAGAATCAAACCATTCATGTACCC